CCCTGTCCCATTTTCTCCGCGGCAATACAACCTGTGATTACGAAACTTGGCAGGGATGTAGTCACGTGCCCTGTCAGTCACCCCAACGATTTTGGGTGTATGACGTCACATATCACGTGACTTGCTAAGATAACATTATCGCCAGTTTTTTGAATAAACCTTTTTTGACGTTATTGCACTGAAGTGTTTTGGTACATTAAAAAAACCCATAAACTTAAAAATTCATATAAAAATGTTATAATAAGGGGATTTTGTTGGAAAAGCCTCGGTAAGGATTTCTTTAGCTTTCCATATGCATAAAAAGGTAAAGGTAAAGCGTCCTTATTTTACGTCGGTCGTAATGGTCATTGACTAATTAACTTGCTGTGGCCGATGGTGCGTTCATTTCGCTCCCTCTTTCTATCAGTGCTGAAGAAGTCGAAACAAGGATGTGTGGTCACTGAATGGAAGTCAGACCTCTTGCAAAGAAGACCGCGCACTAACCAACAGGGGCAGCGGAAGCTGGGATTTTTGGGGAGGGGGGCACTGAAATATTATATTTAACGCTATGTGATAATCACCGCAGTTTTGATTGACTGAGAACCAACATTTGGGGGGTGAGGGGGCCAGGTCCCCCACGAAATAATAATAATAATAATGATAATAATAATAATAACAATAGTAATAAGGGGAAGGGGGTAGGATTCTAAAATTGATATTTTAGTTTCACGATCGATTATCCGTAAATAAAGTTTACCAAATCACGATTTTTCATAGGATAAAAAATCGCGTTTCATGACGGGAAATTACATGGTTACCATAGCAGTATATAGCAGAATCATTGGAAAAAATTGCCCATACATTTGGAATATTTGCTCTTTTCGGTCTCTTTCCTCTCTTTCCAAAGCAAAAGGTAGGTTGTTCTTAAAAGTAAAGTTATATAGCACAAGTAAACTGCGTGACAAAACATCCTAAATGACCCATAAATCTTCTGTTCTTTCCATCGCCAACTATTCCGGTCATGCGCCCGCGTACAAATGCAGCGGTGTCGCTTGAAAGTGTTAAGCGAGTTAAGTCAGATTTTACAAAGAAATGTAGAGAGAGTCAAGATAGTTTTCGATTTATAAATTTCTGTGCAAGAGTTTTCCACTTGCCGGGGTAGAAGAACAATATATAACATTAAAGCATTTTTACCAAACATACTTTAATTTGTTTGGAAAAAGCTTTTCGTCTCGATAGTTAGATTTTAACAGCCTTCTTGCCATAAGTGCTTTGTTAAATTGCAACAAGAGAATGTTCTCTTGATTGCAAGAAAAACACAAAAGGTCAAATATTATAAACAGGATTTCTCAAAATCAGAACTAGTTACCTCATTTGCCGGGGTCGATCCTTAAAATACACACATTCTAAATTACTGATGTCGGATCTGTGGTCGATTGAACGAATTTATAGTTTTCGTTTTTTACTTTCAAAAAGCTCCGATTTGAGACGAATATTTGTGAGATCCTTCTTCAAGAATAGGCAGTTTGTGAAGCAAAAACCTTGAAAATTATTCGCAAAAAACCGCATGTTTGGTACCAAAATAAAGCTTGAATCCTCAGCTCTCGTTTGCCATCGTTTGTAATAGGATATCTATTAAAGCACAGGAATACCGTAGCAAAAGGTTTTGTTTCTCTAAATCCGGGCCTGAGAGAGCTTGGGCTTCCTGTGGTTTTTAATTTATACATGATATCCGCTGACTTGGCGAGCGGCGCATGGCCGGAATAGTTGGCGATGCGCTAACTAGTTGTAAGCGTGTTTTCGAGGCTACGAAACCTAAGAAACCATAAGAGGCGAATGTATAGGCCAACAGATAGTATGAG